ATGACTCCCATGATGAGGAAAGAAAAAGCTGTTATCAAATAAAACATATCTGGTTTGAAGTATCTCAGCACTCTCATTAGCAAACGTTTGGTGTCCAGATTGTCTTTCTTTGTCTGTCCATCACGAGAAATCCATTTTTCCCATATTAAACAGGCCACCAATGAAGACGTAGAACCCAACAAAAGCATGCTGGGATCGAGCAAAGGTCCTGTGTATCGTTCCGAGGGAAGTGCAGTCAGGATCCGTCCAGTTTCAAACACTGGAGAAATAAGACAGAGGAGTGCTGCGAACCTATAAAGCAATGCTCTGTGTTTTCCACTTGTCAGCACTGCGATGAAAAGATGGAGAAAAGCCCATTTTATCAGTCCGAAGGCCCACAGTCCTGCCAGTCCTCCGCAGCTGGAACATTTGAGCAGCAGCAACCCGGCCCACCGTGCTGAACACAGGAATCCATCCAGAAGAATGATGCACAACAACCCTGTTATCACTCCCATCACTTTCTGTTGATGGTTGGCCAGACTGCAAAGGCTTAACCTGGTTTAAAAGAAACAATAATCAGACAAACATCCATTTTACTCACAGGTCAAATATGTTTGACTAGTAAGAGCGACAACAAACATGACATGCATGGATGAAGAAGGGATGGTATACCCTTTCAAGCATGCATTTTGGCTCCCTAAAAGGGGCCTTTAGCACACATTTTGGCTCCCTATGAGGGCACTGAATCACATATTTTGGCTTCCTAGGGGGGCACTGTAGCACATGTTTTGACTCCCTAAGGAGTTATTTTAGCACACATTTTGGCTCCCTAAGAGGGCACTTTAGCACATATATGGGCTCCCTAAGGGGGTATTTTATCACACATTTTGGCTCCCTAAGAGGGAACTTTAGCACACATTTTGGCTCCCTAAGGAGTTACTATAGCACACATTTTGGCTCCCTAAGAGGGCACTTTAGCACACATTTTGGCTCCCTAAGGAGTTACTATAGCACACATTTTGGCTCCCTAAGAGGGCACTTTAGCACACATTTTGGCCCCCTCAGGGGGCACTTTAGCACATATATGGGCTCCCTAATAGGGCACTTTATCACACATTTTGGCTTCCTAGGGGGGCACTGTAGCACAAATTTTGATTCCCTAAGGAGTTACTTTAGCACACATTTTGGCTCCCTAAGAGGGCACTTTAGCACAAATTTTGGCTCCCTAAGAGGGCAGTTTAGCACTAATTTGGATGCCACTGGATGGGAGGTTCTCCCCATATTACTGATGACTTGAATTGTAAATTTAAGTCATCAAAAATTTGTTCAACTCTGCTCTTGATGTTTGATCGAAGGTCTACTTACTTAATATGTCTTTCTATGCCTATTTCTTTAATACATACTGAATCCTACTACATACTGGATATACTGTATCTGATACAGTATATGATGGAAAATGGATGGATTGATGGATGGATATACTATTTTTATATGGACTAAATATATACTTATCAAAACCCCACATTGAATTAATTACTGTCAGCCATTTAGCACAAAAGGTTCATTTTACTTGTACTGTGTTAAACAAAAATTAAAAGTAGGAAGAAAGAAACTGCACGCGCTTTTAGAGTCTTTTTTAAATATAAGGAGGTGACGTTTCCTCTGTTGTTTTTACAAGAATGCAGAAGAGAGAACCTCAATAACTCGTTTTAACACAGAAGGTGGTTTTTGTATTCAGGAGCTTTTAGCTGTTTAACATTCCCCTCATTAAACCTGTGAGCCTCACGCCGTTATTTTAACAGAAGTTCATATTTTATGGACTTACCGTCCTCCACCTCCTGTCCACAGGAAGCTAACTGTTAGCTGCCGACATACTTTCGGTTTCACTTTAACGTTTATTGTTTCATTTCTATTTATTAACGCACATAAAACACCAATATAACCGTCTAATGAACATGCCTTCCATTTCACTCGGTTTATTGCTCTACAACAGCAAAGCTTAAAAAAGGTTTATTAAACTTGTAGACTGTCAGCTGTTATTCATTATGCCACCACAAGATGGCAGCAGCGCACAGTAACTAGAAGGTCCTGAGAATAAACACGGAAGCAATGGAGTTTATCCACAACACCTTTCGCTGCAGCTATGGCACTGATCCCTTGGGTTTTTAGCAATTAGCTTTTTAAACATAGAGGCACAATAGATGCAGTCTGCTTTTTACATGTTCTCCAACCTGAGCTGTGTAACCATGAGCTCCTTCACTGCTTCTAAATTTAGATGAGTGGCCATCTTTGAGGCTAGTTTATTTATAAAACACATTTCAGTAGCATAACTCAAAGAGCTCTACGTGATTAAATATAAAAAGAAAGATATTAAAGAGAAGATTAGTGCAGTAACATAAAGGCAACAAAAAGAGTAAAAATGTATGGTTAAAATGTTATGAAAAGATACAATTCAGTATATATATATATATATATATATATATATATATATATATATACACACACACACACACACTGTGTCCAGAATTTTTAGGCAAATAAGTATGTCGACCACATCATCCTTTTCATACATGTTGTCCTACTCCAAGCTGTGTAGGCTTGAAAGCCAACTACCAATTAAGTAAATCAGGTGGTGTGAATCTCTGTAATGAGAAGGGGTGTGGCCTAATGACATCAACACCTTATACACTGTGTGCAGAATTATTAGGCAAATTGTATTTTTGAGGATTATTTTTATTATTGGGCCACAATTGTGTTCTCATATGAGGTTCTCAATCAACTCAAAATACTCCTTAATATCAAAGTTTCTTATTTTTGGAAATTGATGGTTTTATTTTTATTTATTTTTTCTTAGATTTGGCCATTTTATAAGGATGTCTGTATGTGCAGGTAAATATTACTGTGCAGAATTATTAGGCAACGTAATAAAAAACCAATATATACCTATCTCACTTGTTTATTTTCACCAGGTAAACCAATACAACAACCCAAAATTCAGAAATAAACATTTGCGATATTCAAAAATAAAAAAAAACTAATCAGTGACCCATATAGCCACCTTTCTTCACCATGACGCTCAAAAGCCTTCCATCCATACATTCTCTCAGTGTCTTGATCTCTTTGCGATCCACATTTTGGGTTTGATTGAGAACACAATTGGGGCCCAATAACAAAAATAATCCTCAAAAATACAACCTGCCTAATAACCCCATCTGTGTGAAATGTATGCGTCTGTGTATATATGAAGAACTGCATTTGTCAAGCTGTTGCCTGTCTTTGTGGCAGTACCTTTGAAGAAGGAAAAAGAATAATACAAAGGGAATCCAGTAGAACTTTATATTGCCTACCTGGAATGGGTGAAAATAGTTGAATAAACTTTTGGCTCTCAAAATGGTATCGATGCCCTATTTGTAGGTACTCGCCTATACCAATACCACCATTTTAGTGCTGGATCGGGGCCCCGCCCAATACTGGCATCGATACAACATTGGTAAAAGTGTGTGTGTGTGTATATATAAATATATATACACATATACACACTTTTAAGCCCCATTTTTAAGCAACTAAGGGCTACAAGGTAAAGCTGCTTCTTCATTGTTGATTCTGGTTTTGTAGGTTTAATGCACGCTGCATTTATAACAGCACTGAAATGCATTCATACCAAAAATACACAGGACAATTTCAGAATTCAACAATTTATTTCACCTAAATGTATAAATAAAGAATTTATAAAGATACAATTTGGTAAACAGCATGACAAGCCTCCAAAATGTGCTAATAAGTCCTTTGATAACAAATGAATGTTTGGTTAAACATTTTATTACTTCAACATACTGTATCCGATACCTGAAAAGCTCATTTGATGCTCAGCAGTTTCTGATTTTAACTTTAAACATTTACATATTACTTCATCAGCTGAAGCAAGTGATTGTTGAAAAGAGACTGCATGGTTTGATCTTCCTTTTTATGATCACATGGGTCGATTCAAACTCTGTAAAATGTGAAACATCTAAAGAATTGGTCTGTGAAAAGGAACAGCTGCAGGTCATCTTTTCCCAGTATGCCAGTAATGTAAAAAGGCACTGTTCCATGACAGAATGAACAACAAAAAACTAGGTTTCCATCAGAAGCATACATTTTTTGTGTTTATTTTTTACAGGAAAACAAATGCTACTAAGAAAGATAAAATAGATTATGAAAAATGGGCTGAAAAATACACCAAAACTCTGTTCAACCTGTTTACACCATCAGCTGATGGGTTCATATGGTTAGATCAGAATGTAGATGCTTTAAAATGACCCTTATTCACATTAGAAAGTTTTTCCCCTCTAAAGGTAACATTAGCTTTTTACCCACAAAGAAACTTGCAAAAAAAAAAAAAAATGTTGGTCATATGTCATTTGACATAGAAAATATTAAATACTCTAACATCTTAAATTTTATTTGTAAAAACAAATATTTTTTTTATCTGTAAAGTTAATATTATAACTGCCCAGCAGATGTTTATAAACTCAATTGCATTTTCTATAGATTATTGGCTGTTGAGTGTTATATCAATGGAAAGTTGAGTAGAAGGAAAACTGTTGTGACAAAGGGTGCCAAAGACTCCACACACATATATATCTTATAAGACGTCCCAAAAACAAAAAACAGCATTGCACTTTATCAGAAGGGTGTTTCATAAAGATCACTCAGAAAAATGCAGACTTCAGTGGCCAATTCTGACTCAGCCTAGGCACATTATATAAAGTCGAGATTACCGCGTTTCACCAAAATATGCTAAATGCAACTAATGCAAGACAGGTTCAACCAACCAGTGTTGCCGCTCACATAAGCAGATCATGCAGCTGATCACAGAGTTCACAGAGTAACCATGGCGAAATATGAGCATGCTGCTTAATTTATTGGTAAAAACCTGCATGGTATTCGGAAACGTAAGAAAAATATTAATAGAAATTTTGTTGCTGTAAATGAAAAAAATATCATACCTATCATTTCCAGGTGTTTTCATTTAAGTAGAGTTTCAGCCTGGAGATTTTAGTCAGTTTTAGTCCAATAAACTGCTTTTAGTTAAATTTATCTAGATTTTAGTCAGCAATAATCTTGCTTGGACTAATAAAAAAAAAAGGAAAAGTGAAAAATAACCTGATTAAGAATAATAAGCTTAGATTAATCACACAGGCTTTATTTCAACAAGTCAAAAAAAAAAAAAAAAAGATCCAGGCACTGGGAATCTGTGCGAGCTGCGGTCCAGTTAAGGCGGTCAGCAACATTAATGCAGATGTGTGTTAGGGAAGACCAAAGGGTCATGTTGATCAATGAAAAAATGGCTGCTGTTCTCTCCTTAAAAACCGCAACACAGAGGTGGGAGTGTGAGGATGCCCTTTCAGGCAAACTGCTTTGCACAAAGCGAAAAAGAATTCAGATATTTTTTCTATGTGATCTTAAAATTCCATAATCAGGTATATAGATTTGCTGAA